AGCCTTGTACATCCATGTTTCCCACTCGCCACTCCTGACAAAGTTGAGTCATCTACAAAACACTCCACAACCTGTGAAACAGGGACACTCAAGTATAAAGCAAGTATTGTTCTTTGTAGTATGATCTAAAAAACTTAATATAAATTTGAGCATCATAGGTGTTGAATCCTTTGATTACAGCACGAGGTAAACAAGTTTGAGGCACTTTCTAGGATGGCCAATCCAAGCCGAGATAAATTCAACACATGAATATAAAAAACAGATGTATGTTTCCAGGACATTTATTAATCCCACATCATATAACATGTTTGCTGCTATGCGTGCCATCCAGCAGATATTTTGTGGCAACTTATCAACAAAACTGAATGAATAATGGTTGGATGTGTGTGTGATGGAGATATCTGTCATTCGCCATCTTCTAAACATGGACACCGTTAAGCGCATGCACAAATATATATGTCCCTTGTATATTCCAATACAACAGTTTTGGCGTCAGGAGTTGGGCTTTATAGTACAGGTATAAGTCAAGAAATGGGGCAAAAATGCTAATTTCTGGCCCTTGTTTCTATTTCAAAAATCGGGAAGGGAGAGAAGTCTCCTCCAACACTACATCGTTGCGACTGGGACAACCTCCGAATTCATGCGCTTGGACCTCTCTATCCACGCTCAGAGCTCAACCCATATGAAGCGATATTTCCGCATGGAAAAAAAATGTAGCCTTAGATTGCTAGCTAACCATACGGTATGATGTCATAAACTAATGTGACCACACTATACTGAGATCAATGAAATTGCTCATGGAATGTCTTGCAGCCTTCCACTGCTCATCCCTGACAGGAAGTTGAGGTCATCTACAAAACTCCACAACTCTGTTGAAACAGGACACTGAGCAGTACATATATAAGCAAGATATTGGTCTTTGTAGTATGTCTAAATAATTATATAACATTGAGCAATCATATGTGATCCTTTGATTACAGCAGGTAACAAATTAGGCATTTTCTAGGGATGGCATCCAATGGAGAGATAAATCTCAACACATTGAATATAAAAATGTATGTTTCCAGATTTATTAATATCACATCATATTCGATATGTTTGCTATGTGCCATCAAGTCAGTATGTTTTTCGGCAACCTCAACAAAATAATGAATAATGGTTGGCGGAGTGTGTGATGAGAGATATACTTCAGGATCGTCTAAACATGGTACATATTAAGCGATCCACAAATATACTATGTCCCTTGTATGTATTCCAAAACAGTTTGGGTCAGGGTTGGTGTCTTTACAGTATACAGGGTATATGAGTCAAGAATTGATGAGGCAAAAAATGCTAAATTTCTGTCTGGCCTGTTTCTATTCTCAAAAATCGGGAAGGTAGGATAGTATCCTCAACACTACACTACCATCGTGTGACGGGACAATGATATGTCTTAGACATCTCTCTATCCTTCAGACCCTCCTATGGAAGCGTATAATAATCCCTGTGGAAAAAAAGTGCTAGCCTTAGATTGCTGTAACCATATGATGTCCATAAACTAATTGTGACCACTATACTGAGATCAATGGAACTAGCATGGATATCTTGTGTAGGCCTTCCTGGTTTGTGGACTTCCCAATCCTGATGATTTTGTAGTCAATCTACAAACTCCACAATACCTGTGAAACAGACAGCTCAGTTATAATGTAAATATGGGTCTTTGCAGTATGTCTGAAAAATGAGTATCATTTGAGCATCATATATGATCCTTTAAAAATTTTTATATAATGTGATTAATAAATCTTGATTTTTTTGTTATTATTCGTGTGTTTAATTTATGTGCTTGAGTAGGCAATGCCATCACCTAGAAAGTCTCTAGTTCTTTGTCTGCACTAATACTTTGCAAACTGTGGGTTGCCAACACTAACCTCTTTTGCGTGACATGTATATTTCAGTAAGTGAATTTCACTTTAGGCAGACACTACATCAGACACCGATTTCATCTTTATCCATGGTATAACCATAGGGTCTTCTGAGCCACCCCAAAGAGGAAGATCTGATCCCTTATGCTCATGTTGTTTTTTATTGACATTTTTTTTGCAAAAGGGACAACATTTTGGAACCTACAATGGGTTCATTTCTGCCATTCAGGCATGTGACGCGCTAATCTCTCTTTGCTAATGAAGGGTACCCCCATTGTGGGACTACCGAAACATTGCATTTTTGTATTTGACATGTGAGCAATAAAAGTCGGATCAGTAATACGACAACCTAGATTGAAGAAGAATTGAATGCACTGGCATCATATTTGTGATGCATCCTTAGTAGGTTTTTAGCGTTTATTATGGATTGCAAAGTTTCAGATATAAAATATTTAGCGAAGACAATATTACTCAAAGAAAGCTTTGCTAGTTCTCACAAAAAATTTGGTATATGTTTTCACTTTGTTATCTCCTCAATGATAGTTATGAAAGTTTAGTGATGGGCCAGAACACCCCATGTTTGGTTTTGCATTGATATTTTTCGAAACTAAGATGACTTTCCACTGCGAACATGAACTCAATGCAAGTCCTATGGCACACGAACTTTGTAACTTCAAAAAGTACTTTTTTTTTATAACTGATTTCATGTTCATCACAAGCTCAGTACTCACCGTGCCGAGTCCCCAATACCACCTTTTCATCATGGCAAGTAATTTACATATTAGCCTTCATTATAGGAATTTAGTGGGAACCATTCCATTTTTGGGGCAGGGTGAAGTTCCTTTTAAAAGTCTTACCAGGCCTAAAGGGCCCGGTATTGCTTTTAGGGGGAACCCCATTCACTCCCTCACACCCATTTTTGATGAGGGTGGGGTTCCCCTTTAAAAATCCCTCCAGCGCCTAAAGGTATGGCTTATAAGAGGAACCTCACGCACTCTCTTTTTTACTGTGGGGTCCCTCCTAACTTTCCCACCATACCTTCTGTTTTCGCTCTTGTTTGTTTTGTGTTTCTATTTTTATATTTATATATTTTTTAATTTGTTTTTGGGAGTGCGTGAGTGATTTCTCTTCTCCAAACCCTGTTTTAGGGCAGTGTCCAACAACACAACTCCCTAAGGCTTTGAAGTGTGGAAGAGAACTTTATATATATAGTGTGCAGCATATAGACTTAGGCCACATTTAATGCCTATGATTGGCCAAAGTCTCCATGACTTTGGCCAATCATGGCTTTCTCTCACATTTGCAATTGTGCTGTGATTGGGGCCAAAGCATTACACCTGACCTGTGACAGCGCAGTGCATTGTGGGGTGCTTGGTGGATGAACAGCCTGCCAAATGCCCTTACCGTTCATGTGTTCGGTGAACACATGAATGGTCAACGTTCGAGGTAAATTTGCGTTCAACTTATTTAATTAGGAATGGGCTTCAACATCGAAGCCCATTCCTAATTAAGTCATTATTTTAAAAAGCAGTCATGTGACCACTTCCTTTGATAAATCACTCTTCAAGGACTGTTAGTGAAATGGAAAGTGCAATTGTGTGCCATGTTGCCTATAGTATCACCTTTTCATTTTGTGCTGTACCATTGTGGCAGGGAAAAGCAGAGTGCACAGACTGCAGGCTGTGCATCAACATGGCCACCAGTAGTCCCACAGTGGGAGAACTCAGGCATGGGAAAGAATGCCAGTGCTCTTATTATAATTGTAGTAGCCAAGGGTAATCGCCCTAAAATAAAAATTCAGTAGAAAATATACAAACTTAATCAAATACAAAGGGTTTTTAACCAGTTGCCTATTGGGCACTTTATACCCCCTTCGTGCCCAGGCCAATTTTCAGCTTTCAGCGCAGTCGCACTTTGAATGACATTGTACCCATATGAAATTTTTTATCATTTTTTTCACATAAATAGAGCTTTCTTTTGGTGGCATTTAATCGCTGCTGGGTGTTTTATTTTTTGCGCTATAAACAAAAAAAGAGTAAAAGATTTGAAAAAAAAGTTTTTTTTTGTTTCTATTATAAAATTTTGAACACAGGTAATTTTTCTCCTTCACTGTTGTGCATTGATGAGGCAGTACTGATGGGCACTGATATGCAGCACTGATAGGCAACACTGATGGGCACTGATAGGCAGCACTGATAGGAGGCACTGATAGGAGACACTGATTGGCGGCATTGATAGGCGGCACTGATGATGCTGCAACTGATAGGCGGCACTGATGGGCAGCAATGATAGGTGGCACTGATGGGCACTGATGGGTGGCACAGGTGGGGCAGCACTGCTGGGCACTGATCATCAGTGCCCTGATGATCAGTGCTGATAACTTCTCTGACAATTGCCGGTTATCGGCAGTACTTTCCTCATGCTGTGACTGCGTGAGGAAAGTGCAGCCGATAACCGTCAATTGTATTACCCGGTGATCTGCTGTGTCATTGGACACAGCTGATCACGTGGTAAAAGGCCGCTGTTATTGGCCGTTTACCATATCACCGGCGGCACCGAGTGCGCACCGCTGGGGGCGTGTTCTGGAATGACGTACATGGACATCATCCCAGAACTAGGCAACTGCGCTGTAGCCAACTTTCGGCTATAGGTCGGTAGGGAAGAGGTTAAAGGTGAATTTAAACAATGAATGTGCTTTTAATACAACCAGGACTATGGGAAAGAGATATACAATCTGAGGGTCCATTCAGAACTACTGCAATGCCGCACTGTGGAGCTTGGCATCTCCATTTCTTTTGAAAGGTACCCCAATGCACTAATACAACACAACCCCTGACACCTGCGCTGCAACTCACCGTAACACATGGTATTACACACAGTATAATGTGGTGTGTGCGGATTCAGAAAAAAATGGTGCATTTTCTGATTTTTGCTGCATTGTAGGTGATTGACAGATTATTTAGATGATCCCAATGGCCCTTTAATAATTTGGGTTTACATACACTTTAGGTATACTGTATACTCACACTCAACATCAAAGCTTACAAGACAACTGTCAATCAAGGACTGCTCTAGAGGAGCTCTACGGCAATGACTTACCTGCAGTTGGCTGCAGAGTTGGGACAAAGTTTTTTCAGGCATCATTTCCTCTAGGGAAAAAAAGAGACAATATCAGTGACTGGCAAGTCAGCTCTGGCCCCTGTAGGATGGTGTATAAGGGCCCATTTAAAATATCACATTGCGATAGCACACAGAAAGGCATGGGACTTGCATTAGTCTAATGCAGTGTCATTTGTTCGCAATGCACCTTGCTGATTGATATGTGCACTAAGGTACATTGTGTTGTGGTGCAATGCCAAAAATGCTTCATGCACAATTTTTTCGTGTTTTTTTTATTTATTTTTTTATGCCACAAATTCAAATCTTTTACTGGTATAAAGGTGTCTTCTGTGCCCCTCCACATTTAATTTTTTTTTTTAATTTAAATATTTATAAATTTTTCAGATAAACAAGTTATACATACTCATTAAACACCTTAGCATATTATCAAAACATTTATCGTTTCATCCCTTCCCCCCCCTCATCCAATCCCTGACCCCTTCTGCTCTGCATTTTCCTGTTCATTTCTGGAGATCATAATCCCTATAAAAGAAGAACAAAATATGTTTTCCATATTATTCTATGTTAATCCCCCATACCCTCTAAGACTAGCCTTGACTTTTTGAATTCCTCCCATTTGTTCCATGTTGTATGGTGATTCTCCATCTTATCTTCATTCAAATGATAAAGTTCCTGCAATTTACATATTTGATCCACCCTATCCACCCAGTCTTTTATTTTGGCACCTCCTCTCTCCTCCAGAATTTTTTGAGTTGTGTTTGTTTGTCTGTTGTGTTGGGCAGCCAATTGAAATAAATGTGTAAAGGGTCTTTTTAATAACCCAATATGACCACATGGCCATATTAGATCAATGATGTCATAAGCACCCCTTTGTGCATCAGCTGTAGGTCAGAGAATCTCCCATCCACCTCAGCTCATTGTTCCACCAATTACAGCTAACTCCCAGGCTTGGAGCAAACCCAAGTTCATCACTACAACCCCGAAGTTAGTATTTTTAGAAGAAAAGCTCAGCAATGGTAGTCTCTGTATATTCTCTAAAACCAAAGGCCATGCAAAGTCACATGTATTGATGATATTTACAATCTGTTCAGTATGTAGTGTACTTAGTAAAGGGGTCCTTTGGACCCTTTAGTCATTAACTAAGTGAACCTACTTCCCTCCCTCAGGCCCAGGTACACTTTCTTTTAAAATCTGCCATTCAGCCAGCTAGTGAGTCAGTCTGAACATTTTTAATATTTAACGGAGGGGGGCAGATGGGAAAAGAAATGCCACCCCCAGTGATTTCATTGCCTTGAGGAGGAATACTACTAGGGATGTACCGAAAATAATGCAAAAGTGAGCATAAACGTTTTATTAACTTCCATAGGCCATTCAAATTTCACATGTTGGTAGAGTGACTCTTCCTCTATAGTAACTCTTCTTCTTTTTCACTGCAGGTAAATAATGCATTCCAGGCAGAAGCAACGCAACATCACTGAGTTCTTGATGAAGGAGGGGTGCAGACTTTCCAACATCCACAGAAGCTACAGAATGTTTACAAAGATGACACCATTGGCAAGAGCAATGTGCACAGAATGTATGAAGAAGTTTAAATGGTGTCATCTCCATAATCTCCAGGCATTCTGTAGCCTTCTGTGGACAGCCTACACCCCTCCTTCATCAAGAACTCAATGACGACATACTGCTTCAGTTTGGAATCCATTGTTTACCTGCAATGAAAGAATACAAATAAGATGTATATATCAGTCTCTAATTGATGAAGGGCTTGTTGATTGATGATCTGTACTACACTGACACTCACCATAAGCGCTATTGCCTATCAGGTTTGGATGGGCCATGATATCTGGTGAGTGCTACTGAATTGTGTCGGTGTTCCTCTGGAGCACGTGGTGATATCTGAGTGCACTTTACTCCATCAATTGTCATATGTTGTTCACAAGTGGTTGGTGCGGTGGACCAATAGGACTTTGCACTTTGTCATAATTTTCATTTTTTCAGTTGATGGACATATATCAAATAAATTTAAATATTTCTGTATATTTATGGTGTTATATTTTGTGTCAACTTTTCACTTTGCTAGTGTGTTTTATAAATGGTTAGCACTTCCGCCTGGCAGTACTAGGGTCGTTGATTCGAATCCCAGCCACGGCACCACCTGCCTGGAGTTTGCATGTTCTCCCTGTGCCCTGCGTGGGTTTCCTCCAGATACTCCGGTTTCCTCTCACACTCCAAAGACATGCTGGGAGGTCAATTGGATCCTGTCTAAAATTGCCCTAATATGTGTATGTATGAATGTAAGTTAGGGACCTTAGATTGTACACCCCTTGAGGGTTAGGGACTAATGTGAATGTACAATATACAGGTGAAACTCGAAAAATTTGAATATCGTGCAAAAGTTAATTTATTTCAGTAATGCAACTTTAAAAGGTGAAACTAATATATGAGATAGACTCAAATACATGCAAAGCAAGATAGTTCAAGCCGTGATTTGTCATCAGTGTGATGATTATGGCTTACAGCTCATGAAAACTCCAAATCCACAATCTCAGAAAATGAGAAATATTCCATGCAATCAATAAAACACGGATTGTACATAGAACAATATCGGACCTCTGAAAAGTAGAAGCATGCATGCATATGTACTCAGTACTTGGTTTGGGTCCCTTTTGCAGCAATTACTGCCTCAATGCAGCGTGGCATGGAAGCTATCAGCCTGCAGCACTGCTGAGGTGTTATGGAAGACCAGGATGCTTCAATAGCGGCCTTCAGCTCTTCTGCATTGTTCGGTCTCATGTCTCTCATCTTTCTCTTGGCAATGCCCCATAGATTCTCTATGGGGTTCGGGTCAGGCCACTGCCAAGCTGGCCAATCAAGCACAGTAATCCCACGGTCATTGAACCAGGTTTTGGTGCTTTTGGCAGTGTGGGGCAGGTGCCAAGTCCTGCTGGAAAATAAAGTCAGCATCCCCATAAAGCTTGTCTGCGGAAGGAAGCATGAAGTGTTGCAAAATCTCCTGGTAAACGGCTGAGTTGACCCCGGACTTAATGAAGCACAGTGGACCAACACCAGCAGATGAAACATGGCTCCCCAAATCAACACAGACTGTGGAAACTTCACACTGGACTTAAAGCATCTTGTAGTGTGTGCCTCACCATTCTTCCTCCATACTCGGGGTCCTTGGGCCTCTCCATGCTTCCTCCATACTCGGGTCCTTGTGCCTCTCCATTCTTCCTCCATACTCGGGGGCCTTGTGCCTCTCCATTCTTCCTCCATACTCGGGGGCCTTGTGCCTCTCCATTCTTCCTCCATACTCGGGGTCCTTGGGCCTCTCCATTTCTTCCTCCATACCCGGGGGCCTTGGGCCTCTCCATTCTTCCTCCATACTCGGGGGCCTTGGGCCTCTCCATTCTTCCTCCATACTCGGGGTCCTTGGTTTCCAAATGAGTTGCAAAAGTTGCTCTCATCAGAAAAGAGGACTTTGGACCACTGAGCAACAGACCAGGTCAGTTTTTCTTTAGCCCAGGTAAGACGCTTCTGACGTTGTTTGTTGTTCAGGCTTGACAAGAGGAATACGACATTGAAGCCCATATCCAGGATCCGTCTGTGTGTGGTGGCTCTGATGCACTGACTCCAGCCTCAGTCCACTCCTTGTGAAAGTCCCCAACACTTCTGAATGGCCTTTTCCTGACAATCCTCTCCAGGCTGCGGTCATCCCTGCTGCTTGTGCACCTTTTTCTTTCTTCCACACTTTTCCCTTCCACATAAACTTTCTATTAATGTGCTTTGATACAGCACTTTGGGAACGTCCAACTTCTTTTGCAATTACCTTTTGAGGCTTTCCCTCCTTATGGAGGGTGTCATGATGTTTTTCTGCACAACTGTCAGGTCAGCAGTCCTTTCCCATGATTGTGATTTACCTACTGAACCAAACAGAGACCATTTAAAGGCTCAGGAACCCTTTGCAGGGTGTATGGCTTAAAATGAGCTGATTAGAGTGGGACACTTTGAGCCGAGAATATTCCAGCTTTTCACAATATTCTCATTTCGTGAGATTGTGGATTTGGGGTTTTCATGAAGCTGTAAGCCATAATCATCACAAATGATGACAAATCATGGCTTGAACTATCTTGCTTTGCATGGTAATGAGTCTATCCTCATATAATAGTTTTCACCTTTTAATGTTGCATTTACTGAAATAAATGAACTTTTGCACAATATATAATATTTTTTGAGTTTCCACCTGTATATGTGTAAAGCACTGCATAAACTGACGGCGCTATAATAAGTTACCTGAAATACCCAATAAAATAAAATAATATTATATACATTTTTGCACTGTTTAAAGAAGATGAATAGCTACTATAGAGGAAAGAGCTACTCTACCGATTGTGAAATTTTAATGACTTATGTAAGTTATTAAATACAACTATGCCCATGTTTGCATTACCTTTGGTAAATGCCAAGTTGTATATTTCCTAACTAGGACCTGCTAAATGTTCAGTCTTACTATATCAGAGGTCAAAAGTGAAGCATGGAGACTAATGTGCTGTTAAAGACTTTAGGGGAGAATGTGAACAAGTTAAGAGATCCTTCAGACCTCTTCACAAAGTTTACTTAATAAATAGTTTTTTTTTAGCACATTAGTAACCAGGACAAAAACATTGCTTACAGCAGAAAGTTCCAGTCAAAATGTAAAAAAAAAAAAAAAAAAAAAAACCAGCCCACTCACCTGTCCCATGATCTAGCTGTGTGCTCATGGGCCATCCTCTGTCCCCAGCGCTGTGACATCTTTAGTGTGGGCACCACCCGGCTGTGACAGTTTGCGTTTTCACAGCAGGGTGCGCACTTGCACATGCTTGATTAGTAGCGCTGCGCCTTGTGAATGGGTCCTGTAGTCTTCTGGGACCTGTCATGTGTCTCAAAGACTACGGGGAGGGAGGATAGCAACGCTCCCCAAAGGTGCCAATCCTTAATGGGGTGCAGGACATGAAGTCTTGAAAGCTGAATACGGCTGCCAGACTCATTCACCTTTCCAACCGCTCCCATCATCCCGCCATCCCCCCTCTGCCAATCCCCATCCACTGGCTTCCGATTGCGCAACGATCAAATTTCAAAATCCTAACACTGACGTACAAAGCTGTCCCCCATACTGCCCCGAACTACATCACTGACCTAATATCCAAGTAACCCGCACCCAACACGCAACGCACGCTCCGCCCTCACAAGACCTCCTCTCTCTCTAGTTTCCCTGGTCTCTCGTCTCCTCCCATGGCCCCCGCCTCCAGGACATTCTCCAAGGGTCACCCATCCTCTGGAACTCCCTGCCCCAACCCATCAGATTATCACCTACTCTCCTCCTCCTTTAGGCGCACCCTGAAAACCCATCTCTTTCAGGGAAGCCTACCCCAGCCCCCTGCTAACTTGCCGAACTCCTCCACTCTTCCCCCACAGCTATCTCCTCCTGTGCCACCCATACCCCCCTCCCTCCTAGATTGTAAGCTCCAAAGAGCAGGCCCTCAATCCCCTCATGTTTTTGCATTGTATTGTTATTGTTTCTGTCACATGTTTCTGTCCCCCTTTGTAATGTACAAGCGCCGAGCAAACCATTGGCGCTTTATAAATACTGTATAATAATAATAATAAATAATAAAAAGCTAAACTTCCCCTTTTGGGTGGACCCTCCACTTTAAGGCCAGTTGCTTCACCTCAGGGTCAAGTCCCACTCCTAAAAAATGTGATCCATACATTACGGTTCATAAGCTTTACTACTCCCAGATTGTAAGCTCCAAGGATCAGGCCCTCCTAACCCTCTTGTATTGAACTGTAATTTAGTTTGCTGTATTGTCTCCCTTATATTGTAAATTGCTGAGCAAACTGTTGGCGCTATATAAATCCTGTATAATAATAAATAATATATAAATCCTGTATAATAATAATAATACTTATATGTTAAGCAAGAAATCACTTACCTATTTCAACTTGGATAAATCAGGGATTTCTTTCAGAAGAGTGTGCGTAGTAGGAGGAAAGCCCACTGTAGGCAGACAGCAGCAGCTGGCAAAGATCCTTGTGCCATTTGTAGGCATGTTGTATGCATGTCTCTGATGGCACATAGCCATTTCCCTGCAAAGTAAGAGAGATAGCAAATAAAACTGAATGTGGTGGCTTTAACCGCTTGCCACTGTGTAATACGTGTGGCAGGGCGGCAAGAAGTATACGTGTGGCAGGGCGGCAGTGGAGCGCAAAACCACGTTTAAAAAAAATTTAAATATGGTTCCGCGCTCCTCCCGACGACCCGCGGGTGACACTATTTGATCCAGGAGGGATCAATCATTAGATTTCAGCCAGTGATTTCTGGCTGAAATCACATGATCGGTCCCTGTCCTATCCTGTCCTGTGTTGACATACACACAGGGCAGGATATGATGTCATTCTTCTCTGCCTGGACACATTCCGTTCCAGACAGAGAAGAAGACATCCAAAAAGTGAGTACACAAGCACTACACTACAGTTAGAACACTCTAGGACACATTTAACACCCCCTGATCGCCCCCCCCCCCAGTTTAACCCTTCACTGCCCTGTCACCCAGTGTTACTGATCAGTGAAGCGATTTTTACTGATCAGTGTCGCTGGCGACTTCCGATAGAGTTAGCGCCCCTCCCAGATAGCGCCAGATTGCCCGCCAGTACACCACCAGTAATCCCGTTTAATCCCTTGATCGCCCCCCCCCCCCCAGTTAACCCCTGCACTGCCCTGTCACCAGTGTCACTGATCAGTGAACCAATTTTTACTGATCACTGTATCATGTCGCTGGCGACTTCCGATAGAGTTAGCGACCCTCCCAGATAGCGCCAGTTTGCCCGCCAGTACACCAGTAATCCCGTTTAACCCCCTTGATCGCCCCCCCCTCCAGTTAACCCCTTCACTTTCACTGCCCTGTCACCCAGTGTCACTGATCAGTGAACCAATTTTTACTGATCACTGTATCAGTGTCGCTGGCGACTTCCGATAGAGTTAGCGCCCCTCCCAGATAGCGCCAGATTGCCCGCCAGTACACCAGTAATCCCGTTTAATCCCTTGATCGCCCCCCCCCCCCCCCCCCCCCCCCCCCCCGCCCCCAGTTAAACCCTTCACTGCCCTGTCACCCAGTGTCACTGATCAGTGAACCAATTTTTACTGATCACTGTATCAGTGTCGCTGGCGACTTCCGATAGAGTTAGCGCCCCTCCCAGATAGCGCCAGTACACCAGTAATCCCGTTTAATCCCTTGATCGCCCCCCCCCCCCCCCCCCCCCCCCAGTTAACCCCTGCACTGCCCTGTCACCAGTGTCACTGATCAGTGAACCAATTTTTACTGATCACTGTATCAGTGTCGCTGGCGACTTCCGATAGTGTTAGCGCCCCTCCCAGATAGCGCCAGTTTTGCCCGCTAGTGCACCAGAAATCCCATTTAACCCCTTGATCGCCCCCCCCCCCCATCCAGTTAAACCCCTTCACTGCCCTGTCACCAGTGTCATTGATTACAGTGAACAGATTTTTACTGATCACTGTATTAGTGTCACTGGTGACTTCCGATAGTGTTAGCGCCCCTCCTAGATAGCGCCAGTTTGCCCGCTAATGCACGGGATTTTTTTTACCAAAAACATGTAGCAGAATACATTTTGGCTTAAATTTATGACTAACTTTGAGTTTACGATATATTTTTTATAGCTGAAAGTAGAAAATATTGTTTTTTTTTTTCAAAATTTTTGTGGTTTTTTTTTTTTTGTTTATATAGCGCAAAAAATAAAAAGCGCACAGGTGATCAAATACCACCAAAAGAAAGCTCTATTTGTGTGAAAAAAAGGACGTAAATTGTGTTTGGGTATAGCATTGCATGACCGCGCAATTATCATTTGAATTAGTGCAGCGCCAAACAGCAAAAAAAGGCCTGGTCATTAAGGGGGGTAAATCCTCTGGGGCTCAAGTGGTTAAAGGTGTATTAAAGTAAAAACCTTTTGGTTTTGGATAGACTATGGAATTATTAAAACCAAGGGCACAACTACGAATCACGGGGGCCCTTGTCAAAATTTTGATGGAGCCTCCCAGATAACTCTTTCTCTATAGTACCTGACAGTGTCAATGGTGACAATAGATATCATTGATCTTAGCAGAAATGTACATAAATCAAGAAGAGACAGCAGGAGAGTTGTCAGCATAGTCAGCACACTACAAGGGAGCAGTGATGTGGATAAGATTCATAGTATTAGTAATAATATTAATATTATCAACCATAATTATATTTTATATTAGTAATGCTCTTGCACACAATTACTATATATCTCTTATACAAACTTTTTAAACTTTTTGCATAACTACTAACCTCAGCTGTCTTATCAGGTTTTAGCTGAGGAGAAACTCTTGGATTTGTGAAGGTCAGAGGGCAATGAATCTACACTGCTAAAACAGCTAAGTAAGGTGTCCGTTTATGACACAGAGAATAGCTGAGATTCAGAGGATCGCAGTTATTCTCTGGTCATTCATAGTTTATGACACTCAGGAGATCAGCGGAGGACATGTTCAGCCCTTCACTGGAGATCTGTGTTCTCCCTTCAGATTCTCCAGCCCAGAGCTGGAGAATCGGAAGGACCACAAACTAAGCAGAGATAATTTACCTCTGCTTAGTAAACTGATCTTTTACTGTAATCTCGCGAGATTATAGTAAAATCAGCCATTTTCCAGCATTTGTAGACCGTTCTCCAGCGTTTGTAGACCATTCTCCCTTCGTTCGGAGAACTGCTTCATAAAAGGCATTCACAGGAGAACTGTGTTTTCCGAGAATGCCGGAGAACTGAGTAGCGATCATTTACAGTCAGGTCCATAAATATTGGGACATCAACACAATTTTAACATTTTTGGCTCTATACACCACCACAATGGATTTGAAATGAAATGAACAAGATGTGCTTTAACTGCAGACTGTCAGCTTTAATTTGAGGGTATTTACATTCAAATCAGGTGAACGGTGTAGGAATTACAACAGTTTGCATATGTGCCTCCCACTTGTTAAGGGACCAAAAGTAATGGGACAATTGGCTTCTCAGCTGTTCGATGGCCAGGGGTGTGTTATTCCCTCATTATCCCAATTACAATGAGCAGATAAAAGGTCCAGAGTTTATTTCAAGTGTGCTATTTGCATTTGGAATCTGTTGCTGTCAACTCTCAAGATGAGATCTAAAGAGCTATCACTATCAGTGAAGCAAGCCATCATTAGGCTGAAAAAACAAAACAAACCCATCAGAGAGATAGCAAAAACATTAGGAGTGGCCAAAACAACTGTTTGGAACATTCTTAAAAAGGAACGCACTGGTGAGCTCAGCAACACCAAAAGACCCAGAAGACCACGGAAAACAACTGTGGTGGATGACCGAAGAATTCTTTCCCTGGTGAAGAAAACACCCTTCACAACAGTTGGTCAGATCAAGAACACTCTCCAGGAGGTAGGTGTATGTGTGTCAAAGTCAACAATCAAGAGAAGACTTCACTAGAGTGAATACAGAGGGTTCACCACAAGATGGAAACCATTGGTGAGCCTCAAAAACAGGAAGGCCAGATTAGAGTTTGCCAAACGACATGTAAAAAAGCCTTCACAGTTCTGGAACAACATCCTATGGACAGATGAGACCAAGATCAGCTTGTACCAGAGTGATGGGAAGAGAAGAGTATGGAGAAGGAAAGGAACTGCTCATGATCCTAAGCAGACCACCTCATCAGTGAAGCATGGTGGTGGTAGTGTCATGGTGTGGGCATGTATGGCTGCCAATGGAACTGCTTCTCTTGTATTTATAGATGATGTGACTGCTGACAAAAGCAGCCGGATGAATTCTGAAGTGTTTCCGGGCAATATTATCTGCTCATATTCAGCCAAATGCTTCAGAACTCATTGGACGCTTCACAGTGCAGATGGACAATGACCCAAAGCAGACTGCAAAAGCAACCAAAGAGTTTTTTAAGGAAAGAAGTGGAATGTTATGCAATGGCCAAGTCAATCACCTGACCTGAATCCGATTGAGCATGCATTTCACTTGCTGAAGACAAAACTGAAGGGAAAATGCCCCAAGAACAAGCAGGAACTGAAGTTGCAGTAGAGGCCTGGCAGAGCATCACCAGGGATGAAACCCAGCGTCTGGTGATGTCTATGTGTTCCAGACTTCAGGCTGTAATTGACTGGAAAGGATTGGCAACCAAGTATTAAAACGTGAACGTTTGATTTATGATTATTATTCTGTCCCATTACTTTTGGTCCCTTAACAAGTGGGAGGCACATATGCAAACTGTTGTAATTCCTACACCGTTCACCTGATTTGGATGTAAATACCCTCAAATTAAACCTGACAGTCTGCAGTTAAAGCACATCTTGTTCGTTTCATTTAAAATCCATTGTGGTGGTGTATAGAGCCAAAAATGTTAAAATTGTGTTGATGTCCCAATATTTATGGACCTGACTGTATCTATAAATTACTAATTAGCACACTAAAAAGTTCTAAATAAGTAAAATAAAATAAAATATCCCAAAGAAAAAACACTCACTTTCACCCTTGAAAGCTACACAACAAATGAATGAAATCTTTTCTTTTCAAATTAAATAAAATTCATAAAAATATATATATATATCCCCAAGTGTGATTCCAAAAAACTATATTCTGAAGAGAAAAAGTCCAGGAAGTGACAAAACGCGTCAGTGACACGTGACGACTGACGTTTTCCGGAAGTGTAGCCGTGGCCATCTTGGAAGTGGGAACATGCGGTAGTTCCCTTATGTGATGTGATTTGTGTCTCTGGGAAGCTGATTTCTACAATTTTAAATGTAAGTTGCCAAATAAATTTCTATACTCTATGGTGCCTTCTCTAATTGCCAATTTACTTATGAGGAGAGTGGAGGAGGAATCCCAGGATTGATCTGGACCCAGGAGTCTGATGCCCCATCCCTTATGTTCTTTGACAAGCCCTATTGAAACAGTATTGGGGAGAGTAGAGGAGGAATCTCAGGATTGATCTGGACCCAGGAGTCTGATGCCATCCCTTATGTTCTTTGACAAGCCCTATTGAAACAGTATTGGGGAGAGTGGAGGGAGGAATCTCAGGATTGATCTGGACCCAGGAGTCTGATGCCATCCCTTATGTTCTTTGACAAGCCCTATTGAAACAGTATTGGGGAGAGTAGAGGAGGAATCTCAGGATTGATCTGGACCCAGGAGTCTGATGCCATCCCTTATGTTCTTTGACAAGCCCTATTGAAACAGTATTGGGGAGAGTGGAGGAGGAATCTCAGGATTGATCTGGACCCAGGAGTCTGATGCCATCCCTTATGTTCTTTGACAAGCCCTATTGAAACAGTATTGGGGAGATTGGAGGAGGAAATCTCAGGATTGATCTGGACCCAGGAGTCTGATGCCATCCCTTATGTTCTTTGACAAGCCCTATTGAAACAGTATTGGGGAGAGTGGAGGAGGAATCTCAGGATTGATCTGGACCCAGGAGTCTGATGCCATCCCTTATGTTCTTTGACAAGCCCTATTGAAACAGTATTGGGGAGAGTGGAGGAGGAATCTCAGGATTGATCTGGACCCAGGAGTCTGATGCCATCCCTTATGTTCTTTGACAAGCCCTATTGAAACAGTATTGGGGAGATTGGAGGAGGAATCTCAGGATTGATCTGGACCCAGGAGTCTGATGCCATCCCTTATGTTCTTTGACAAGCCCTATTGAAACAGTATTATGTATTGGGGAGAGTGGAGGAGGAATCTCAGGATTGATCTGGACCCAGGAGTCTGATGCCATCCCTTATGTTCTTTGACAAGCCCTATTGAAACAGTATTGGGGAGAGTGGAGGAGGATTCTCAGGATTGATCTGGACCCAGGAGTCTGATGCCATCCCTTATGTTCTTTGACAAGCCCTATTGAAACAGTATTGGGGAGAGTGGAGGAGGAATCTCAGGATTGATCTGGACCCAGGAGTCTGATGCCATCCCTTATGTTCTTTGACAAGCCCTATTGAAACAGTATTGGGGAGAGTGGAGGAGGAATCTCAGGATTGATCTGGACCCAGGAGTCTGATGCCATCCCTTATGTTCTTTGACAAGCCCTATTGAAACAGTATTGGGGAGAGTGGAGGAGGAATCTCAGGATTGATCTGGACCCAGGAGTCTGATGCCATCCCTTATGTTCTTTGACAAGCCCTATTGAAACAGTATTGGGGAGAGTGGAGGAGGAATCTCAGGATTGATCTGGACCCAGGAGTCTGATGCCATCTCTTATGTGGTTTGACAAGCTTTATTGAAACAGTATTGGGGTAATTATTCAGTACTACACGAGTTGGAGTGTTGTTTGGTTTGGCGCAGTGGGTTGGAATAATATTATTAACCACTTGAGTGGATCACGATTGTTTATTGCAGTGTTCACATATAGAGTTTTTTTTTTTTTTTCTCTTCTTTCACATGCACAGTTTTAGTGTGTGATGTAATTCACAATGAATGGCACTAATTTCCTTTTTGTATAAGGATAATACACTATGTTGAGTTTTTTTTTGTTTTTTGAGGTTTATGAATATTTGGATATTACACGAAGAGTGAAAATAAGAGAAATAATTTTTGGAAAAAATAATTGGAAGAAAAAAAGAGGACTATAGTTTTTTGGAATCACACTTGGGGATATATATATATTTTTATGAATTTTATTTAATTTGAAAAGAAAAGATTTGATAAAATTAGCGATCATTTATCACTGGTTCATAAATGGACACATAAATCCTTACCTCTGGAGATGGTGGTTTGCAGTAAGCAGCTCCAAAAACCAGATTCTCAAGAGAAACGCTTGTCTGGTCCATCGCTAACTCTTGGTTACTTTTTCCCAACCAGGATCCTCTTAGCGGACGGACAAAACTAGAAGAAAATAGAAGAATTGGGAATTGAAGATCAAAGACGGTTAAAGAGGACCTTTACATTGTCCCCATTTTATCTTTAGGTGCTGGAAACCAGTTCATATTGGCAAATAAGATTTTTTAATAAATGATGGTGGAAACCTCCTGCTCTTAAACCTAAAAACCTTTATCTAATCTAAATAAATAACGGAAGCTGCTAGCATCCAATCATATACCCAAATGATTCGAGATATAAAAAAAAAATGAAGTGATGCAGCGCTACTCTGATGATAATATTGATAATACTATATAAATAAACATATAAATGAAAAAGTGTATAAAAGTGACACAATTTGCAACAACAAACATAAACAGTGACCTGATCCTCCAGGGATCTATAATAAGTGAACTGATCCTAAATGGATCCAAAGTGTACACAGTGAATGTTAAACCACTCAAAGATGGTCATTTCAGATTTACCAATACTGATCGTATGGTATAATTGTGCATACAACCAAAGTTAGAATCCAAAGTGATAGTGTAAACAGATCAAGCAAAAAAAATATATGAACCAGGGGCGGACTGACCATTTGGAAACTCGGGCACTGCCCGAGGGCCCGGGTCAGTAGGGGGCCCCATGAGATTAGCCCCTTGGTACCTTTCTCATAGGCTTTTTTGAGTTTGGGCAAGGACACAGGGGCCCATGATCCCCTATTGCCCGGGATCCCCATGAGTTGTCAGTCCGCCCCTGCTACAGCACCTACTTATTTTCCAGCCAGTCTCAAGAACGTGTATTGCTTTGCATGAATGCACCCCAATGCATCTCGTGTGAATGAACCTTGATTGCTTGTTCATGCAACCACCTCTGGATTGTTAGGTACTGTACAGTATGTAGAGAAACAATGTAACTCTGTCTAGGGAGTCCTGGATGGTATTCATTTCTCTCTTGGGATCAGGGGCGGACTGACAACTCATGGGGCCCCCGGGCAATAGGGGATCATGGGGCCCCTGTGTCCTTGCCCACACTCAAGAAAGCCTATAAAAAAGGTACCAGGGGCATTTCATGGGGCCCCCTACTGACCCCGGGCCCTTGGGCAGTGCCCGAGTGCTCGAATGGTCAGTCCGCCCCTGCTTGGGATGTTACTATACCCCTCTTGCATCCTTTAACTCCAGGCAGGTGTTGGATTAAGTAGCATCAGGTGGGGCTTGCTAATTCATAAATGTGAAATGTATGATCCTCACTGTCTGCTTTAGGAACCTTTCACAAATACTTTCCAATCAGGTCCGCCTGACAGTTTTTCAGAATAATATCACTGTAGGCTCTAGGTAAGCATATTGGCTCTCAGTCCATCTAGGTCTGGAAAAAATGCATCGGTAGGCAGGTGCAGTTAGCCTTTCCACCTGTAGGTGGACCAGCACCATTATTGCATGGAAATGGGAGTTTCATAATGGAATTGGACCCTTAGAGATCATGTGCAATGCCTTGAGATGGTAGGAGGAAGGTAGTCTGAGTGACCACTGAACAAGACTTTGACGGCCATCTTTGGTGAGGGAACTTTTTACATAAGGAACCCTACATCATTTTGGTATGCTTCTGGTAAATGAGTGGTAGGGGGAGCAACCTGCTTGTGAGGAACAGTTTTTAGCACAGTTTCAGGTTCCAAAAGAGGAAGGTTAACTCAGGGAAGGCCTTCTTCACTTCATACAGCTGTGTAAGCTGGGTGGAGATGTGGAGCCATTACAGACTGCAGAAACATCTCTGCCTAGTCAAAAAAAGGACACTACCACTAGTAATGGAAACCTATACTGTGAACACTGGGATTGTATACTATTTGGATTACTTATATCAGTACTGAAGAACAGTTATCTGTTGCTGCTACAAACTGTGCAAAAGACATCAGTGTGCTATATACTGTGTGGGAGTATTTCCTCCCAATACAAGGCACCGATTCAATCCCCACATCATTTTCTATTTTTCCAAACCTAAACGTGATGAATGGGAGTTATCTTGATGATGTAAAAGTCATGTTGTCCATAGGTTCATTGTCAAAATGCAAAAAAAAATAAAATAAATGGGTACAGAACACAAGAGGGACATCCATCCCATTCTGCTCTCATTCAGCAGGAGATCTGTTCATAGCTCATGGGAGCAGACAGCATTTTGTCTGTGGAACTGAAAAGAAAGAAAGGTAAAGCCCAACTCCCGGCAAAAGAGTGAGGCCTGTGTGTCTGCATAGTCCCTCCCAATAGGTACCTTGTTCGAGGTCCTGCCTACATATGTGTCTCTCAGAAACCAATCTCCTTCATCAGGAAGAATGAGAAAGTGTTTAAAAAGATGAAATAACAGTGATATTCCCATACTTCCTGATGAAGCAGATTGAGTTTTACATGCATCGGTAGGCAGGTGCAGTTAGCCTTTCCACCTGTAGGTGGACCAGCACCATTATTGCATGGAAATGGGAGTTTCATAATGGAATTGGACCCTTAGAGATCATGTGCAATGCCTTGAGATGGTAGGAGGAAGGTAGTTTGAGTGGCCACTGAACAAGACTTTGACGGCCATCTTTGGTGAGGGAACTTTTTACATAAGGAACCCTACATCATTTTGGTATGCTTCTGGTAAATGAGTGGTAGGGGGAGCAACCTGCTTGTGAGGAACAGTTTTTAGCACAGTTTCAGGTTCCAAAAGAGGAAGGTTAACTCAGGGAAGGCCTTCTTCACTTCATACAGCTGTGTAAGCTGGGTGGAGATGTGGAGCCATTACAGACTGCAGAAACATCTCTGCCTAGTCAAAAAAAGGACACTACCACTAGTAATGGAAACCTATACTGTGAACACTGGGATTGTATACTATTTGGATTACTTATATCAGTACTGAAGAACAGTTATCTGTTGCTGCTACAAACTGTGCAAAAGACATCAGTGTGCTATATACTGTGTGCGAGTATTTCCTCCCAATACAAGGCACCGATTCAATCCCCACATCATTTTCTATTTTTCCAAACCTAAACGTGATGAATGGGAGTTATCTTGATGATGTAAAGTCATGTTGTCCATAGGTTCATTGTCAAAATGCAAAAAAAAAATAAAATAAATGGGTACAGAACACAAGAGGGACATCCATCCCATTCTGCTCTCATTCAGCAGGAGATCTGTTCATAGCTCATGGGAGCAGACAGCATTTTGTCTGTGGAACTGAAAAGAAAGAAAGGTAAAGCCCAACTCCCGGCAAAAGAGTGAGGCCTGTGTGTCTGCATAGTCCCTCCCAATAGGTACCTTGTTCGAGGTCCTGCCTACATATGTGTCTCTCAGAAACCAATCTCCTTCATCAGGAAGAATGAGAAAGTGTTTAAAAAGATGAAATAACAGTGATATTCCCATACTTCCTGATGAAGCAGATTGAGTTTTACATGCATCGGTAGGCAGGTGCAGTTAGCCTTTCCACCTGTAGGTGGACCAGCACCATTATTGCATGGAAATGGGAGTTTCATAATGGAATTGGACCCTTAGAGATCATGTGCAATGCCTTGAGATGGTAGGAGGAAGGTAGTTTGAGTGGCCACTGAACAAGACTTTGACGGCCATCTTTGGTGAGGGAACTTTTTACATAAGGAACCCTACATCATTTTGGTATGCTTCTGGTAAATGAGTGGTAGGGGGAGCAACCTGCTTGTGAGGAACAGTTTTTAGCACAGTTTCAGGTTCCAAAAGAGGAAGGTTAACTCAGGGAAGGCCTTCTTCACTTCATACAGCTGTGTTAGCTGGGTGGAGATGTGGAGCCATTACAGACTGCAGAAACATCTCTGCCTAGGCAAAAAAAGGACACTACCCCTAGTAATGGAAACCTATACTGTGAACACTGGGATTGTTATACTATTTGGATTACTTATATCAGTACTGAAGAACAGTTATCTGTTGCTAAATATAAAAAGAGGGGAAGGTGCGGCGCTATATGATTTAATAGACAATAATAAAATCAAACACACATAATAAAACAGTGACTATGTGCTGATAAAATAAAGTCACTAGGTGGTGGCTGTGAAGTAAAAGTAAGCTGCACCCCTATGAGTACGAGCTCTTGCTCAAAACACGTCAGGGAAGGCTACAGTAGGTCGGACGCCACGCCGCCGGCGCCACGAGGGGCCCCGGCGGCCATCTTTGTTTACATCTGGGTCAGTACTTTTCTTTGTTTATTGGATTGTCTCTGCTATCCTGTACCTGTATACAATAAAGATACTCTAAGGATATCACACTATGTGGCGCTCTCTGTTTATTTGAGTCTTGGTGGGAACCAGCCAGACCTTCAGAGCAGCCGCATCTATCCAAGTACCAGGCGTTGAGAGTCATACTGACCAGATCTGACCAGACCAGTTTGATGACACCAGAGGTCCAGTGACATCATATATAAATGCGCATAAAGATTGCGTATCTGGTGAGTGCGCAATCTTTACAATCTTTATCACCTGGCAGTTCCAAATATTGGACGTCTGAGGATCATCTCGGATCTTAAGAGCACCCCTTTACTGGACTCTTTTATTTATTTTTGCACTTCTTTTACTTCACAGCCACCACCTAGTGGCTTTATTTTATCAGCACATAGTCACTGTTTATTATGTGTGTTTTGATTTTATTATTGTCTACTAAATCATATAGCGCTGCACCTTCCCCTCTTTTTATATTTACATCTCTGAAGGTTTTATAGGGTGCCTTTTTTGGTGTACAGCTGCTGTTTATTTGCATATTCATTCAAGCGCTCACTTACTTTGTTTTTTTTTTTATTAGTTATCTGTTGCTGCTACAAACTGTGCAAAAGACATCAGTGTGCTATATACTGTGTGCAAGTATTTCCTCCCAATACAAGGCATCGATTCAATCCCCACATCATTTTCTATTTTTCCAAACCTAAACATGATGAATGGGAGGTATCTTGATGATGTAAACTTTTACAAGTCAGGTTGTCCATAGGTCCATTGTCAAAATGCAAAAAAAAAAAAATAAATAAATGGGTACAGATCACAAGAG